TCGATGTCCGTCGGTGATTGGCACTAAGATTGCGGAACAGAGACCAACGTTAAATAAAGGAAAAAAAAAATCTATGCTTTCATCTCCTCATCTATCGTATAAAAATTACCACTTTAGTCTGTTATTTTAAATTAGCATCTTCAACTATGTAAATCGTTGACTTCACGCAGAAGTTATACTAAACATATAGAAAGTTGGTCTATTGCTACTTTGCATTTACTGGACTTCACATTGATGTTATTAAAACACGTTGCTATCTTCTGAAAAGTTGCTTATTTTTATGTTATCTAAAACATACTAGAATATATTGGACTGATCAAATTTGAATAAAATACTAAATAAATCAATACACTAGTTATAAGGTAGTCCTAGGAGAAACCAAAAGTGTCTCTTTAGAGCTAAGATATCTACATTTAGTGTCATCAGAAAATTTCTTAAAATTAATAGTTCTACAATTTTGTCGAAGACATAGACCGATTATATCAAAAATTCAGAAAATTAGAATTTGGATATGTAATACTAGCTTAATAAAAATCCTGGTGACTATTTCAAAAGATGCGGAGCACCATTTTTAGAAGACACCTAACGTCTTAAATGTAAACAAACATGTATTTTAAATTACATTCCTTAATTTTTCATTAATCCTTTCATAAATATAACTGTTTCATATAAAATCTCGTTTTGAAGCGGCTGCTGTGGTAAAAAATCAGTCTAATATAATAAAATGGTAAAAAATATAGTCTAAAATAGGTAGTACTTCCTAAATAAATTAATTTTACTGCTCATTTATCCCCAAGGGTTTAATTTCCTAATCTTCTTTCAGAAGATTCAAAAGTTTACTTTTAATATTCAATTTGTATTCATGATGTAAATAGGGCTTGAAACTATGCATTTGGTTACACATCATTCGACTTTCCCATTCAATTTTGTACGATAAGTGATGATTTTCTTAAGGTGGTCAAACTGCCCCACTTTCCACTATACATTGTATATCTTAGTCCAAGCTTACAACGTTGTGGTATCAAATCAAATTTTCCTGTTTTTGCATCGTGAAAAATCGTTCCAAATGATCTTTGTAGTTGATTTGCCTCTGCTTGCAGTTGGCTTGATTGAATCTGTTTGTAACAAATGTACATTGATCAGGTAGGGGAAATAAATGTAATGTCGGCCTAAATGCCTCTAATTTGGGCCCATACATAAATTCAGCAATCGACTAAATTTTCAATAGTGACCAAAATATCCATTAGTAACGTCCCAATGACGCGTTCATCTAGATAAAATTGATAAATAGCAGATTTTTAGCGAAGGGCCCAATCTTAGACCTATAGGCCAACCTTAGAGCCATTTCTCCTATATCTTATTTGTTAACTGCAGCAGAAGCTTGGGGGCCTCATAGCCGGAGGCGGTGGGTTCGATTCCCGGTCCGATCGAGGGAATCTTTCGGGTTGGAAATTTTCTCGACTTCCCTGGGCATAGAGTATGATTGTGCTTGCCCCACAATATACAAATTCATGCATTGGTATTGGCATCGAAAGCTCTCAATTAATAACTGTGGAAGTGCATTTAGAACACTAAGTTGAGAGTACGCAATAAGCTAATATGCGCTAAGCAATAAGCTTGAAATGCGAACAAGAAGAAGAAGCAGGAGCTTCTGTTTTGTATAGGAATAGGGGTTTTCTCTGTTTATACTCTTTAGTATGACCCGCTTGGCATAGATGGCTCACAGCGACTCACGAAGAGCTACTGATTTCGATCAATAGCGGTGTGGCTTCTTCGATGGATGCTCATGTGGGCTGCAGCTCACTGTTTGCGGGGAGCCTTACTGGAGAACACCACCAGTCACCATACGCGGTGATTGCATGGAATTCAATTTTGAAATCTGTGTTAGGGGAAGCGCTTTTTGCAGGCAATCGGTGATAATTTTAATTATCATAGCAACAGTTGAACATTCGTGTAATTTTCAATAGACATTTTGAAAAATGATAAAGTCTTACTTTCAACAGATTTGTAGTAAAATTTCCTATCGCTTGGCGTATTAAGAATTAAAATTCATCATCTCTGAATCAAAACCAGACCACTTTCATGCCGCGACCGACTTTGATTTTCGTAATTGCTTATAAAATATATGGTATTTTAGATTTAAACTTATAAGAACTGACATCCGATTACTGACTTTGACAAATCTCGCGTCACTTTTCAAATAGACCATTCTACATTGATCGATTCTCTTAATCGACTCCGTTGATAACTTGGCTGCATTCATATTTCGGGCTAATTTTTCTACATAGTCTATTAACAGAAACTATTATTAGGCGTATTAGACGATAATAACAGCTGAACATGTTTTTGGACCCGACTAATTAACGACAGAAAGAGAGTCGATAAAGATAATCAATCAATTTAGATTGGCCTATTTGAAAGTTAAAGCGAGAAGTGTCCAGAAAATAATCTTTAAAAAAATAAATGGTGGTCCTTAAAAGGACCGTTTTGTCGTGATGGTTGAGTAATGCTGAGCTAGTAAGGGATTCAACACAGATAAGCCTTGTATGTTGTTTGGAACGGTGACACGCTTGGCAAAGGTGGCCCACTGCGGCTCACGAAGAGCTACTGATTCCGATCAATAGTGGCGCGGCTTCTTCCTTCTTCTATGGATGCTCATGTGGGCTGCAACTTGCTGCTTGCGGGGAGCCTTTCGTTGTGTACTGGAGAACAATATTCAACGCCACGCGCCGAAAGCACTGCTGCAGCTGATGCCGACGACCGGACACCACCACACAATGGTGATTGGAACTGAATCCAATTAGCGGTTGTGGGCAGCCTTGATTGCTAGCTCTAGACGGGTAATATAAAGGTGACACAGTAAGCAGAAGCGTTAGTTTGTTTACTATGCCCATTTTGTTAATGCAAGTTTTGCTATAAGAGATACTCCTCGTGTTTATTAACGAAATTCACATCAAAGGCTGATCAGTTTGGCACGGCATTTGTGACCAGCATACACCTTCCGGTCTTATGAACCAGGTCAAAAACTGTCCAAATCCGCCCACAAATTTTGTTGTTTTGAATTTATGTATGGCAAAATAGTGAACTTTTCGTGAACATTAACGGCAAAGAACTCACCAACACTGGAAGACCGTGGGCTCCTGCTCACCTGTCATAAAACCATCTCGTTGCTAGCTGCTTGCGGGGAGCCTTTCGCTGTATGCTGAAGAACACCACCACTCATAACGTGATGATTGATGTTCGGCGGGACCGGATGGAATTAAACTTTGAAATCTGTCTTAGGGAAATCGCTTTTCGCAGGAAATCGGTGATAATTTTAACTATCATAGTAACAGTTTCGGATTTGTGAAATTTTCAATAGTGACATTTTGAAAAATGGTAAAGTCTTAAATTTCTTAACGACTGGTGATAAATTTTTTGAAATTGGTCTAGGGGCAGCTGAGTTATGAACGTTCAAAATATTTTATAATTGTGTTACATGATCCATTTTCGGTTTTCACAAAGTGTACCCCCATTCAGAAAAGTGGTTGTTGTTGGTGCGAAATTCATATTAACATATTCATATAAACATATTTTCAATTTTCCTCGCAATATCTGCCATATGCAGTCGGTTTATATGTTTCTTCAAATGTCTAGTATAAGAATTTTATTCCTTTGTCTTTTGTATCTCTTAAATATCGGCTCCGTAAAACTAACGCGATTGAACCTTCCAAATAAACGAACGAGTTAAAAAAAAAAATCAATTTTCACGACAGCTTTTGTGTACATTGTTTATTTTTTCTACATATAATATACACTGTTCTCTACACTTCGTTCGAAAATTACTCAAATATTTAAAAAAAAAAAAAATCTTCAAAAAGAGGCCTCAAATCATTATAACTATTCAATAAAAGGATTTATTTTTGGCCAGCTGGAATATAAATACATCCCACTGTGGGAAGGACTTTTGTGATTCGGCCTTTTGTGTATTTAGGCCATAAATTATGTCGGTCTTATGAGATTTGGCCTTTTGTGCTTCGACCTTTCGTAGTAATCCTAACCAGTGCTGCAAAAACTTGAAGATGGATGAGAACGATTTGGAATTACGGTTATGTGAAATTATTCAACGATAAAAGTACACTGATAAAATTTCGAAGATTGTTTTTATGTGTCCCACACATGATTTTTTGCAATATGATCAACAAATGACATCTATGTGTCGGACACATACTTAATATGTGTACACACATAAAAGCCATGTGTAACCACAGATTCTATTAATTTGGCTCATAAATTTCATGTGTGCTTCTGGGTGGATTCTGTTTATGTGTGGTCACATGACAATCATGTGGAATTTTACATGGAAATTCGTCAATAAAAATGTGTAGAATTCTATTAGTGTGCGATGCTTGGAGGGGTTGACAAAATCGGGTCATTACTGTATTGGTCATATACTGAAGACATCGAGTGGGTTTACTCACAATATCAAACAATCCTACTGTCAAGTCATTGAAGTGCCGCTAGAAGAGCCGTTCCTAAGTAGAGCCGGAATCTGATTGCAGTGATTTGATTCAGTGCTGTAGTTGAGGGTAATAGCGGGTAGTCGATGACTAACTAGCTTTTAACGGAATCCAAAACTTCTTAATTTGTTCAATTTGTACGCCCTTATATTACTTTTACGACAACAAAGCTCAAATCAAATGGAGAGTCATGTCATACGAGGTGACAATTGTCCCTAGCCGTGCAGCCAAAAAAATCGCATTATTTGTGGACACTCTTGTTGTCAATTCCTTCTCTCTTATCATGATATCGGCCCTTATTATCGGTGTCACTTCACGGTGAAGTGATTTCCAATTGATTTACACGACAATCACTTCACCGTGAGTGACGAGTGGTCGCTTAACTTCGTTTTCACCGTAATAAGGGCCATCGTCTTTCTTTCAGTGTGGAAGTAAAAATCGAAACCATTTATGTGTGCTTTCAAAATCGAAAGTAGAGGAAATCTTTATTTTTGCTGCCCGCTATGAGTCGACAGTGGATAAATTCTTTAGCTTTTAATAAATTAACTATCACTAAATTTTGCTTAACACATAAGCCTCTAGAAAGAAAAAAAAAACAAAAAATGGCGATATTCGCTCGTTAGAAAAGATTCACGACGATGGTTATCTATGCGTTTATAATACTGGAATCTCCGTCCGAAGGAGGCCCACTTTGCTCGCAAACTGAAACCACCCCGGTCGGGGTGTCAACTGGCGAGCAAAGTGGTCTCACTCCGGTGGAGCGATGGCTGAGCTAGGAGGAACTATTTTATGGAACTCTCAACAGACAGGTCACTATCACAGAACAGAAGTACGTCCATATGCTGATGAGCCAAAAGGTGGTGGCTCGTCCTGGGGATGGTGGTATTTCTTCGGGTTCGGCACCCTGTTTGCTCGCTTTGATCACGTACACTTGCGACCCCAGCTCGTTGGTGGCAGTCAGTTCGAAGATCTCCGTCTGCTCCGTTCGCTCGTTTATCCTCAACAGGACCAGGTAGTTTCCGAAACCCTAGGAATATTTAGTGGTATTTTAAACTTGTCACGGAGACTTGTCACCTGGCTTACCATATCTCTTGGGTAATAGGCTTGGTATGGTCCTGTGCTTTGACCTTCGATGATCGTCATGCCATCGACCTTCCACGACGTCCTCGGCCGTGGATTTGCTCTGATCGTGATGTTTACCATGGTATGCTCACCGTCACCGATGTAGATCGTGGGAACTCGTTCCGGTGAGACTGAACGGAAGATCCACAGTGAAATGATTATATATTCCAACAAAAAATAATGTTATACTTACATCGAATGTTCAGCGGAAGGAACGCCCGGTAATACCCTTTATTGATCGCAAAGTGTTCCGCCCGGCAAATGATCTTTTTCCCGTGATCCTCCGAAGTGATAAAATAATTCAACTCCTGTGTCACCGTCGTCAAATTCTTCCCCTTCTTATCGACCCTGTCGCTAAACTCCAACGGGCCAATCATCGAGCCATCAATCTGCTTTTCATCCAGCAGCCAGGTAAGATTCGCCACCGGAACCGCGTCCCGTGACGTACATTTTACTCTAATAGTTTGATTCGGCGCAAAAGCACCCTGCTCGACGATCGCATTCTCTCCGATCTCAATATCCGTAGGCTCGGGAGTTATCGTGAGGACCACTTCGATCGTTTCCATGAACACCTCTCCGCCAATGGTCATGTTGCACTGGAATTTGCCCTCGTTCACCGATTTGAGCGTGAAGAAGGTGATCCCGCAATCGCCGCGCTGCAAACTATTTCCGTAATATCCCAATCCATCGGGAAGATTGTGCACGTCATAGGTGCCGGTGAAGCCAGGGATTTTCACACTGAAACGAATATGGAATTATCTATGGAACATGGGATCCAGTATGCTAAACCGGGATGACTCACTCACCTGCAGGCGGTGGCGGGTTTGCTGCTTCGACATAGGAGATTGACGTCCTTGGAGAGGGTTTTCACGTACAGCTTGGGCGGGACTGTCTCAATGGTCTGTGATTCAACGAGCGAACCGGTGGTAACTGTAAAAACACGAGGATGATGAGAAAGGAACAGATCAGCTGGTTGTTGTTACGAGTAATGATGGCACGCTAAAATCAATATTGATGTTCGCCGTGACTGTTCGCTTGACGGTATCACTTGAAGGTGATCGGAAACAGATGGAGCGGGTTTTCTGCTGAGCGTTGTGGAGCGCGGTCTCAAAGGTGATGCCGATGATCTCAGACAAGCTCTCCCAGGAGCAACATAGTATATAATTCTTTTGTTCTGACTTAAGTACAGTTGCGGAGGCTGGCAATTGACATCATGCTCAGGATTGTTCTTGGCGTCGTGTACTATAAATACGTTCATGATTAACACCGTAAACGTATGATTTGAATTACATCTGACGTCATATAGCCAACGAAAGTTTGAATATTCATCACGAAACGATGATTTTTGTTAGCAACTGAACTACAACGTCAACAAACAAACCAAAAATGCTCAGGACTAATATTTGCATTCAACTCACGTTATCTTTGCGCTGCCCTTACTTGACTTGAAAGATATGATCATTTACTTATGAATTTGATTCCATCCGGTTGACCACAAACATCCTCTCACCACAAAAAAATAACGAAAAAATTGTGACAACATTTCTGATCCATGGCAATTTGACGCAAACGATCGTTAACTGTCGCGACACCACTGCTTTGAACTTGAACTGACACTCCAAGTGCCTTTTCTAAATATTGACTTTCCTTAAGACCCTGACTGTATGAATGGGTTTAAAGCGCGACTGCCAGACATGTGGCCTTGATTACTTTTCCTTCACTTTGCATTCCAGCAGCTCGTGCATTTATACAAAGATTGATCGTTTTTAATGTGCCAGAACATAAGCAGGTTTTGATTAGGAGTACCGTAAAACGGGGGGAAGTCGATCACTTTTTTACCTTTATACCTACTGTTCAAACCATATGTTTGGCATACATACAAATATACCTCTAAAACCTGTACTAGCAAATGCTTTTCTAATGTATGGATTTAGTTTTCAAATTACATAGGGGAAATGGCTCTAATGTTGGTCTATGGATCTAAGATTGAGCCCATCGCTAAAAATCTGCTATTTATCAATGTTATCTAGATGAACGCGTCATTGAGACGGTACCTATGGATATTTTTGGTCGCTATTGAAAATTTAGTCAATTGCTAAATTTATGTATGGGCCCAAATTAAGGCCATTTAGGCCGACATTACATCCATTTCCCCTACTTGTCTTAATGCCCCTAATTTGGGCCTATACATACATTCAGCAATCGACTATATTTTCAATAGTGACCAAAAATATCCATAAGTACCGTCTTAATGACGCGTTCATCTAGATAAAATTGATAAATAGCTATTTTTTTAGCGATGGGTCCAATCTTAGATGCAATAGCCAACATTAGAGTCATTTCCAATATTTTGATGCAAAATAGTTTAAAATACGCTTAAATGTACGCAATTAGCATCAGTAATTCACGAACATTATTATTTTGATAGGAAATCGTTTTTTTTATTTTTTATAATATATTTGATAAGGCTCAATCGAATTAACTTTACAGAGCCGAAAATTATTTTTCACTATACCAAACGTCTTAAAACTATAGTCAAAAGGTACAACATAATAAACAATTTATCTTCCGCTATCCAATAAGCCTCCACCATCAGAAAATGAGCCGCTTCCAGTGGTTTCATTGTATGGCAGATTCGCCAACGGGGGTCAGAGCGCTTCCATTGCAGCAATGGACGCAAAACGTGGTCAGCACTCATACACTCATCACTTAACGGTTGCTTTCCAAGTCGATGACGCATCGACTGAAAAAAACTGCTGATGAAGAACAATGAGGAGGACCACACAATGACGAATAAACAGACGACCGTGTGACACACAACGAGAGTGGTCTGCTTATGTCGACAGCCGAGTGAACACTCAATACGAAATCGTTAGTTTTAACAAAATCTGAATTCACCCAGACAACCACCGTAGAAAGCATTTTGGGAGTCCCCAGCTCCTCTAGCTCAGTCGCACCTATTGCTGCCTGCTTTCATTCAAGTCGTCCTGGCCCTGAGTCTAAATGTGAGCTGAGGGTCTCCCAGCTTGCTACATCAGGCAAGTACTACTGTAATTGTGAGCTTTCGGAGCCTGATGTTGATCCGAATTTCAGTGCCAAAGAAACAACATCTGCCAGTTGGTTTCCCGGAGCCTCCTCTGATAGCCGGATAAGGGGACGCACTCTTGTCGCTCGCCTTGAGGAAGTCCCTTTTCCACTCTCCGCATTTGAACCCTTCCCGACAGCGACCAGCAGACATCGCGATCCTGCGCTTGAGTTGAGAAACGGGGTTTTCCGAAATTTTGACGTAGGACTACGTCTTTTATTTCTATACTGGGAACAGAAAATGGAACATGAAACTGTTAAACGTTCTTCCCAAACCCAGTCCTCATAATCGAGAACCACTTGGTTGCACATCATTCTGCTTTAACCTGAAATGATATTAATAAGCGCTGCTGTATGGCAACAGCTCATTTTCGCTTCGGACGGCGTGGTGGTCTGTAATAGCAGTAGTAGGAAGGTGGTAGCTAGTCCACTCTTCCACACCCAACAAGCAACAAGTGACTGGTCGTGGCAAAAGAGGAAAAGGTGCCAAGCGTCATCGCAAAGTTCTGCTACGAGAAAACACAAGGTGTGCTGAAGGTGTTCCTGGAAAATGAGATCCTTGATTAGCGACAGAGACACAATTTTGGCAACAAAACGGCCCTTTTCAGGGCCACCAAGCGTATTACAGTAAAGAGTAGGAATATAATTCATCTGCCTGTTTGTCCATATTCAGAACCTCACGCCCCGAACGACTACACAAAATGTTCATGTTCGATTCTCTTCGTCAACTTTCTCTTTGAATCGCCACGGCTGGATACTTTCGATGGAAGAAGCAACAATCTAGCATCTAATTCGACGAAGACGGCCATTTTTGAAGCCGAGTTATTTACGAAAGAGAGAGTCGATGAAGAGAATCGATCAATGTTGATTGAACCTATTTAAAAGATACGCGAGATTTGTTTTCCGTGCTGAGCACCAATGCTACCGACACCTCACCAGCGTTGCCAGATAAACCGATTTATCGGTATTTATACCGATTTCCGAACTAGATACCGATATACAGATAAGGTTCCTCAGAATACCGATTTTTAAGGTTTTATACCGATTTATACCGATTTTATTAAATTATTAAAAATGATTATTACCTGCCCGCGCTCAAATTTCGGACAAAAATTATTGTGAGAGATTTGTATCTTTAAATATCTCAATTTTTTTGAGCCTTTAAAATAAAAAAAAAAACAGCTCTAAAAATGTCTTATGAATACTCTTTCGATTAATCTTTCAATTTCCTCACCGTTGTTGGCTACCCATGAATCGATAAACAGTCGATGGCTCTTTCTGGTAATTCCAGGGAATCGGGAAATACTTTTTAAGCATTATTTAACTTCCTGAATTTCCTTCCACCTTACATCGTAAATTATTTTACGATTCCTCTTGGAAACTTATGTCGACTTCCCTTGAAAGTTTCTTCAACCTTTGCTCGAATGATTATTCCATCTTTTTTCCACCAATTTTTTCAACTTTCCCGGAACTTTTAAGAAGTTCTGAAGCTTCAGAAATGCCCAGGCTTTTGAGTAAGTTCGATAAATTGAAGAACATTTCAATAACTTCTGTTAAAGTTCTAAAACCCGGTCCAGCGAACTCCAGTGAACTTAAGGAAACATCATAAATATTTTGGATACTTCACAAGTCCAAAAAACTTTTGGAAAATCTAATGGTTTGCAGGACAGTTCCATTAGTTTCAGTAGAATTGAGAGAACTTTAGGAAGCTCCGAGAACATCAGGACAGAACAATCAATTTCAAGGAAATCGCTGAAATTTTAAGGGAGTTCCGAAAAACTCAGGCAATTTCCGAAAACTTCAGCAATGTTTCGAGGGGCTCATGCAAATTCAGTGCTTATTAATGGCAGTGTTGATAACTTTTAAAAATTAGAAAAATCGGGAATATCAGAGAACTTCAATGTTGATGTTACAATAAATTCAAGAAAATTGTGAGAGCGCTTAAGAAATTTCGTAATATTCAAGAAAGTCTAGAGACTTTCAAAGTTAATTAGATATATTTCGGTAGTCTCATTATAATCAGGGAAGTTCCAAGTATTTCAAAGTATTCAGGGATGTTTTATGACCTTTTTAAAAAATTTCTGGATCATTAGAACATCCCTCAAAGCTCTTTCTTCCGGAATTATGTCCTTGTTTCTTTCGACTGTTCCGCTAGTGCTTTGCCCAACTAACAATTTTAGCTGCAACTCAGCTTATACAGGCAAAAATTAGCTGCATAAGGCAAATTTTGGTAGTATAAGCTAATCTGCAGCTAAAATTGTTTGCTGGGTGGCTTCCGACTTCCTCCAGAATTCTTTCCCAATCTACCTTAGGAAGTTTCTTCTGTCTTCTGCAGGAAGTTCAATTATTCTTCTCCCAGAAATGTCTTTCGTCTAGTTCTGGAATTTTGTACAGTTGGATTTTTTTTTACTTCTATTGGGAGGTTTTTCTTTAAATTTTCGCTAGAAGTTTCTCAATTTATGTCTTGAAAGTTTCGCGGATGATTTTCCGATTTCTCTCAGATCTTTCCTCAAATTTCCTCCAGGGGAGCTTCTTTCTTCTTTCTCTGGATGTTGTTGTCAACTTCCTCCAGAAGCTAAATCAAACATTCCCCGGAGATTTCTTCCAAAAGTTTCCGATCATAAAGATAAAAATTTTCGCTTTCAAAATCGGCAAAAATTTAAAATTAATTAAAATAGTAAATACCGATAAGTACCGATTTTTTAAAACCTTTGATACCAATAAGCTTTAAAACATTCTGGCAACGCTGTGCCTCACAATGGCTTTTTCTATCCTGATATGGATCTACTTAGTACTAAGCTGATGCATGATTTTAATATTACACCCGAGGGGGACGACTCTATCTA